AATACTATGTAATTTTCTCATGGTTTATATTCTGGGGCAAAGGTAGAGATGAGTAAATTATTAAAATGACATCATTATAAATTTGACAAGCAAACTGATCCATGACTAGAAAATTTGTTGTTTTTTCCACCCTTGTTCTACTTGGTGAAGGATGAAGTGGATCAGAAAAATCCCTTATAAGAACAATACAGATATGAAAGGCAAATAACTGAGCTAGAATAGGCATTATATCTTGAGTCTATTTTCCAGAAAATAATTCACTTAAAAATCTATTTATTTTTCCTTTCAAACATTGGATTGCATTTGCCTTATTATACGATATATAAGAAAATCTCGTAACACTATTATCATCTATGATTCACTATTCTACTTATACAGAACCATAAGTGTGCAAGGAAATTTTAGGCAAAAATAAAGGTAAAGTCTATATATAGAGTCTTGAATCTCAGTTAAAAAAATGAGTGTGCATATAAACATCCCCGTACAGCAAAGCAGGTGCTTAATCAAGGGCTTAAGTGGATAGTGATGGATGTAAGCACGGGCTTTAAATTAAGCATGTGCTCCTTAAATGCTCTGTTGAACAGGGGTCCTGAAATCTAAACTTGAAAGTGAGAGGTAATGATCAATTCCTCAGAAATCTGAATTGATTTTTTTTATTTTTTTTTTTGCACAGAGTAGATAAAAAAATCAAAGCTGGACTTGTGACCATTTTGCATCAAAGAAGACAAGAGTGCACTAATGAATCTTGACTAGCCAAGCAAAAGGACCTTCTAAGTGATATTCCACTCAGCATGCCCCACCACCACCATATAGACAATAAAAAGACTGTTAACTTTGAATGGTGGGAACTCTGAAGTTATCATATGGGAAGAACCATGCCCTCAGCCAGGACCACAGTCCCATGAAGGCCAGACTTTGTGCTGTGCCTTTACAAGGGCTTTAAGCCACCTTTTATGTCTTCCAAGATTCTGAACTATTCCGGGGGTGGACAGGTGGCTGGCACATGGGTCTTCCCTGTGGGTTATCATACCCTGCCCAGAATCTCGAAAATACTATACACTGCAGCCATGCCTTTAGCACACCCATTACTCAACGCAGGTCCACTCTGACAATAACATTATGACACAGCTTGTGAAAGGGTCCGTGACACAGTCTTTTGCCTATTTGCTGAAGAAATACATCAAGGAATCCTTCTGTGTCCAGGTATGTGGCTTTTAGGGGTCACTTATCATGCTCTAGTCCCTAATCAGAATAAAGGAGCCAGAGCATGGTTAAGGATCTCACCCTTCCTTTAAAAGCAACATCTTGAACTGCTTCTAAAAACCAATATGAAAGGCAGGGTAACTGGTAATAACTGCTACTATAAAGTTTCCAGTAGCCATTACTGCCCAATACAGGGGTAGGCAAAAAACAGCATGCGGGCCAAACACAGCCTGCCAGGGAACTAGGTCCAGCTTGCAGCAGCCCCCACAGTGCTCCACTGGGGAACTGCCCTGCCCACTCATGCCAGGGCAGCCTGTGCTGGGCTCCTGCCAGCCTAGGTCCTGGCCAATGCACAGCTTCTGGCAGGGGTGTTCCCAGTACAGCTGCATGTTGCTCTGTGCCCCGCACCTCCACTGGTGACTCCTGTTTCTGATCTTGCCCCTGCCTCATCGCACTGCACCAGGTGAGCAATTTCAGCTGGGCAGCTCCTACCCCAGCACCTGGGGCTCTGGCTTCAACTCCCCGTCACCTTCGCAGGAGCTGGAGCCTCCTGTGTGGTGGGGCAGGAGCACACATGCGCACACATGGGGCAGGAACATGTGATCCCAGCCTCACCCACCCCTCCCACTCCTGAACACTGCTTCCCACACACCCAGAACCCACATATGGAGTTTTGGTAAGTTGTTGCAGGGGCTGGGGAGTGCTAATGAAGCTGCGACAGCTGATCAAAGCTCCTTAAGTGGCCCTTGAGCCCAAATAATTGCCCACCCCGGCTTAATAGGCTGCCCCATCTGTATCAGCAGCAACTAAAAAGTGATCATCAAGACAACATCAGACAGAGTACAGCACAGCAATCAAATCTGAGGACCATAATGGTATGGATCATTACTGAGTGATCCAGAACTGAGAGAAAAGGTTGCAAACGTCCACTTAAAGACTGGAGAAAAGGCCCTCTCTCCACCAAGCACCAACCATGATTCCAAGAGAATCTGTGTATCCAGAAAAATATTTTGACTGTGAAACTTCAAAACTGCCCTAGAAACAAACAAGAGCAAGAACAACATCCTGTGCATCTTCCCCAAATCATTATCATCACTTTCTCATCACTCAACTAAAAGTAGGAAAGTACAGATGAAACATCTAGAACCGATGAAATAAAACAACTGAATGAAGGCGTAGAATGGAAATTAGAATTCAGCCTTAGCTATCACTGGCACTACCCATATCATTTATATTATTACGTTCATTTTTAAAGAGGCTTAAGCTTTAAAAAATCATTATCTGGAGAATTACCATTCGGGGAGCTCCAGGGTGGGGGGTGGGGTTAGGGTTTTGTTTTGGGTTTTTTTTATTGTTTAGCTCATAATTCCCATGGCAAGTTCACAAAAGCTTAAATAGCTTCTCTTTTTGCTGTTCCCAGGATCTGCTAAGCTTTATGCAAGAACTTTGGGCTCCTCCTTCCCCTCCCTCCATTCAGCTACATACAGTCATGAACAAGATGGCACTGCAATAAAAAAAACATAACATATGGATGCTCATTTAAAACATAGGTAAAAATAATCTGTTGTAGATGGGAAATTCATTTTCTGCAAAGTAAATAGACTTTGTAATGGCATCAATGGATTGATTCACAAAATTCTTAAGCCAATACCAATGCCCAGAATTTGGAAAGCTTTTAACAGCTCTTGGCAGCCTGGACCAGAGGAGCAGATGCCAGACTGTTAGGCAGGAGATCTGGGTTCTTTTTCCAGTTCAGCCAACAAACTGTAGAATGAACCTGGGCAAGTCACTTCACCTCATCATGCCTGCTAGACAGCATGGGGAGGACTCCCTGTCTTGTCTAATAAGGTTAGAAGTTCCTTGACTACAGGCTCTCTGTAGTACACGTTTGCAAAGATCTGAACGAGAGGGGCTTCAGTTTTGATTAGAGTTCTCAGTATCATCATATTATTAGGCTTACATATAACAATATATATAAAACATGTGATGTTTCTCATGGTTATCTACTCTGAATATTGAAAGTGATTTCCCAGATCCAAACCTGGCTGAGTACAGGAAGCACAGTATCTTCTCCCTATAAAAGGAACACAGGTCCTTACTGTAACAGAACAGGGAGTTCTACACAATCAGATTGTTTAGTTGAAACTTACTCAGCACATAGGAAAAATGAGCCCTATCTGATTCCCCAGTCTGTAAATGTGATTACTTTTCTTGTAACATTCACACCCTTCATGGTGGTATCACTGTCAGTTATTAATTCAGTAGCATCTCTTAGGTCAGCAATGAGGATGTCTCTCATTTCTTGATTTCACTTATGCCTGGCCCAAGGGTCAATCACTCTAGGATCTAAACCTCTTGATTGGTGTGTCAAAAACTATAAACACTCTACTAATTGATGTCCTTGTAGGTTTTGACCCAGCTAGTGGAGTTTAGCAGACTCTGACACAGTCTATTAAATCAGTGAAATAAGGGCCATTTTCTGTGCTGTAAGTCTGCTTCTGCCTAAGCTTTTTACCTGGACAAAAGTGTAAGTAATTTGGGTTCATTGCTTATTGTCTTCACATGAATCTTCTTCACTCCTGTTCCCTCAGTGCAGTTCATTTCTAGAAAGTGTTTGTGGCAGAGATGTTACCATATGAATAATTCAGTGTTTCTAAATAAACAGCTAGAGAACCTAAGTGTCTGCAGATGAAGAATGCCTTGCATTCAAAAGCTTGGCTAACTCTATCCCACCTCTGCAGTTGGTCCAATTAAAATTCACCCTAAGAAATCTTTACCTTTTGCAGATAGATGAGCATTTATGTTACCATACCAGTTACCAAACCACAAATGGTACATATCTACACACAAAGATTTCTTTGCTATAGGAATGACGTTTCAGTGACCCAAGCACCCATCTGCTGGTGCTTTATGTTATTGTCAGATGCAAAATGAAATGGGGAAATTGCAAGATACTATGAGCAAAGACTGCTTGCTGGAAGACACGGACAATAAAATACCCACCCCACTCTAAACTGTGAGCATCCATTGGTCTTCCCCATTCGTTTTTAGGTGAAGTATAGATTTATACATGACCCTACAGACGTTACTTTTTTATCAAGATGTCCTGGAAGAGACATCTTGCAGCACTTACTGATTTCAAATGTATCTGGAGGTTTTCATATCCTACAAATTACACATGTATGTGCACCCTCCTCCTGTGCCCCCCCCACCACCACCACACACACATACACACACACACACACACACACACTTTTATGAGTGATTATAATAGTTCTTGCTTCAGATCTATTGGGGACTTTTTTTTTTTTTTTTTACACATAGAGTTTTGCCACCTATCCTAAACTCACTGGGAACCTAGAATGCATTAAATGTGCCTGGCTACCAAACTACCATGCAGAGGTTCCTCAGTGTAACACAATTTTGGGAACTGTCATTGTGTCAATCTGAAGGAGAGAGTGCTAGATACAGGGACAAAACTATTTCTGGGATTTCAGATGTGCTACACTTCTGAGGAGTAGCAGAGATGAAAAAAATGATGGACTCTGCAAACTAATGTTTAAAGGAGAGAATTGTCTGTCTTAGGCTCTGTATGGGTCATATTTTTAAGTAAATCATCATTTTTAAGTTGAACCACTTCAACAAAACATGTAAACCAAAAAAAAAACCCAGCAAAGGTAGCTTGGAGGAAGTTCAGTCATCATGACTCTTGTTAAGGAACCTTTTAACATTTTTGGAGGGGAATTGGAATGGAAATTGAAATGATTTTCAAACTGGCTAGAGAAGGGAGAACCAACCTGAGAAGTGCTAATATACTTCAGGAACCTCAAGGCTTCATATGTCAGGGAAGGAGTAGGACTTGCCCAAGGCTGAAGGTCTATGCGCCATCGTGTGCTCTGCAACGCAGAAAAATCATTTAAATGAAAAAATGGCCTTCACCTCTCAGTTCAAGTAGAAAATGAGTCAGCGTAATTAGTTACAAAGAGCTGATTTTAAATAGGAAACATTTTTCAAAAGGCTTGTCTACACAGAAAAGTTATTTCAGCCTAAAGTTGAGTATACATTTAATATGGATCTACTACTCCAGAATAACTCCTATTGCAGTGATTTTTTTTTTTTTAATACAAAGCGTCTTTTCAAATCTAACTTAATCAACATTCAAAATGGATAAAGCTCATTCAGGCAAAAAAGTATTTTTATTCCAGAGTAACAGTGTGTGCAATAGCTAATATTCTGGAAAAGCTATTCCTGAATAACCTAGATGCTTACAAGTTTGTTACTTACATGAAGGAAGCCAGGTTATGAATGGCTAGAATCTTGCATCTCATTAGAGAATTAAATATGATTTAATATATACATCACAGCTCTGCTTGAGCATCTGCTAATGCTGGGAATTTATGCAGCAAATAAAAAATGTCAAAAGTAAACCTCTGTAACCAGCATCTTTTTTTAAGTCTGGCTAATTCAATAAGACATTTGCCTTTTCAGAGAAAAGTCCTTTTAATCTTTTAGCCAACGAGATTCGTCAGAATTCTTTGTTTTCCTGAAAAACGGCAGTGTTGTGGCCACCACACTGTAACTCCTCATTTTCATCTCCACAGGAAATTAGATTCAGTGGATGCTTTTCATTCTCTGTGTGAGGCCCATCAGCTCAAAACCTCAGAGATCCTGTCAGCTTTTCAAACACTTCCCACAAAGTAGGACAGAAACCTCTCTCAGATATGTGCTTGCATAGCAAGAGGTTTCTGAACTCCTATCCACAATACCTTCCCCAACTCAGCCAGCTTTTGTCATTTTAGAAATGTTACACCCGCAGCTCTTTTCATCAGACAAGTCCTGAATAGATCTGTGTACATGTTAAATTAAAATTAAGATGAATTCCTCAAGATTGAGCCTCAGTGAAAAGATTTCTCAATTGTGACTGTCAATTTCTCCTACACGAGGGGAGGTGGAGTTTAGCTTCCTTTAATCATTTGTGAATAAATAGATTCCAGGAAGATGATCAGGGTCTTTTTGTGATACTGTTTTGATGCCAACCAAACAAAAAATAATTGTCTTGGATTCCTGCAGAGCCTAATTTCAGTAAGTAGCTCTTGAAACAATAAAGGAAAAAACACTAAATGGACTACACGGAATACAGACTGAGCTTAAAATGTTAAGGTAGTATGCTCATGTCAGTCAAAGGGCCACCTACCAATCTGACTAGCACAGCAACAATGATGTGGAGGAAGTTACAGCTAGTTTTCCTTAGGCAGAAAATTATTACAGTGATATGGGTGACAGAGAGAAGAGAAACAAAAATGATTAAAGAGGATCCTAAGAACAAATGGAGTTTGCCTTGAATTCATATCATTAGCTCAGATTTTTACTGCCTAACAAAACATACTCTGTGGGTGAATTTGAGCCAAGGGATTTGTATAAGGGTCACTGTTCTGTTGCCATTATTTTTACTGTAACATGATGCTAAAAGAACATTTTTGAACATTTTAATTCTCAGTAATATCGGAAAAGTAACTTTACTTCCCACCCCCACCCCCCAAAAAAAAAAAGTTTTTTGGCTTCCTTTCAGTTTCTGCTATTAGACCCGAAGTCATCTGTCCTGCCCTACACAACACACAGGGCAAAACATCAAGTTGTGGTATATACCAATGATACTATGATTTAGAAGTATGGGGTGCTTGTACACATAACAAAAATTGCCCTTTTTGTTATTTAAGTGTTACAGTTTTCACATACGGGGTTTTTTGGCAATTTAAATGTCTCCTTTGTGATTTGAAGTAAAACACATCCTGATGTATCCAGGACAGATGGAAGGACAAATCCCAGCCTTGTCCCCCCAAGCTACGATGCTTGTACAGTGTTTAAATAGGTATTGAAATCTCCCACTGGGGATTTTGTAGCCTGTACAGGAAGGCCAAGAAGGTGGTTTTGGGAGCATGGGCAAAACCTGTCTTCTTTCTTCCCCTGCAGAACAATAAAACATGGAAGATGATGTGATGCCACCATTATGCACTGCAGTTCTTGGGTTTTTGGTTCTGTTAATTTATATTTGTTGGGTTTTTTTGGATGGCTGTTTTTTTAATACGGCTGTATTTTTTTTTTGGTAGCAGGCTTACCTTTTCAGGGCTTGGGTTGATTCCCAGGCTCGAGGGTCTCCTGTTGATTTGCGGAGCCTGCCCACCAATTCGGAGGCAGCACAAGGGTTGCAATGCCCTGCCCTTTTCCAAAGGGAGGGGGCAAGGAGCAGCTGGACCTGAATCGGAACTGCACCAGCCAGGTTTGGAAAACTTCAGGGGTGGAGTCCCTGAAGAATATAAAAGGGGAGTGTGCTCTGCACACTGAAGGGAGACAACGAGGGACAGTGAGGGGAGAGAAGCTCTGGAGACGGCCGCCCTCGGGACCCTGCTAGAGTTTCAGCAGTGCGCAAATTGGCGCATGGGGATCAGGCTCTAGGAGCTGCTTGAGGCAGCTTGAGCCTGCAAACCCAGCAAGTGGCTAAGCAGTCGGTGTGCCGATCGGCACATGGAGAACTGGCCCTGGGAGCAGCTTGAGGCTGCTCAGGCCCTGCACGATGTACAGATCAGCACACAGAGAGCTAGCCCTGGGAGGAGCTTGCGGCTGCTTGGGCCTCACCTGGAATGCGGATCAGCACATGGAGAACCACCTTGGAAGCAGCTTGCAGCTGCTCAGGTTAGCCCCGGCCCTAGGGCAGGTGACTGGAGCCCTGCAGTGTGGCTCCACCTTTAACTAAAAGAGCCCTGGTATGAGACCGGGAAGTTGGATCCTGCAAGGGCTCAGCTCACACAAGATGCAGGGTCCCGGGCCATTGAGGAGAGCCAAAGGCACTGCTGGGAAGAGCCTCTTGCAGGATCGGCCACTGGGGACAAGCCTTGACTTCTCCAGAGAGGAAGCATGAGTTACTGGGGAAGCGGGCCCCACAGGGGAGGCTGACACAGGGGAGGAAGGTCTGCCGCCCCCACCCTCTATTGTGGGAGGGGCGTGTCCACATCGCAGGGCCCTAAAGGGGAGGGGCTTCAGGGAAGCCCCTCGGGGAGGTGCTGAGTGCACTCTCTATTTTGAGGTTGTCGTTGTGTTAAGAGCTATATAGCTAGGGGTATTCTTTAATACCCCTGGCGGGGGGTCGGGCTAGATGATCTACTAGGTCCCTTCCGAACCTTAAACTATGAAACTATGAAACTATGAAGTGGGGGCTATATGGTTTATGTGTGTTAATGCCTCAATGTGTATATTGGTATTATTTGTGAAGGTTTAAAGAAATGTTATTGTTAATTTACTTGGGTTATATAGGTTAATATCCCTATGTGTTAATTATGTTGTATAGGTTGTAAGTTATTTGGTTCATATTTGGTATTATATGTGAATTGTGGAATATTATATAGTATTATATGTTAAGCCTTGTAAATATTCTGTTTTATATTAAGTGTCTGTATATATTCTTATAATAAATTGTACATAGTTAAGTACTTGGTTTCAGCCTAGCTCTATAGAGAGGGGAGGAAGATGCTCTAGTAGCTGACCCCTTCCTTGGAGCCCTGCCTGACCACCACCACTATCATCAGAGGACAGAGCACACCCCCTGGATGTACCCGGGCTACATTTCATTGCATTTACAAATTACAACCTTTTATTTACAAAGTTCCTTCCGGATGTTGTGTGGTTTTTTTCCATAAGTGGTGACAGTGGGTAGTGGAAGGGAAGGGCAGGGGTCTGCCTGTGGGCACCTGCAGCTTCCTGCAGTTACTTAAATTATGAATAGCTGGCTGCTGGGAACTGCGGCAGGGCATGAGGGATGTGGGGGTGAGAAGCTGCCCGGGTGGGGGAAGGGGATTGTTGTTTTCAGGCTGCCAGCCATGGGACTGGAGCCAAAGCCCAGTGGGAGGGAGTGGGGACCCACACGCAACTCACTGCCTGACACCCAGCATGAGTTGACATCCCTAGCCTAGCCTTGCTAGTTGGACCATGTCCTGTGAAAGGTTAAACTGCTCCATGGCCCCATTGTGGGTAGGGGGTTTGGTATGACCCTGCAGGACTCTGCAGGTTGGTGGAGGGGCTACCTGCTAAAACTCCAGCAGAAGCACCCATAGCTATGATTGTACTCAGAGCTAGTACGTAATTAGTGTTCTGCATTTTCAGTTTTTATTTTCAAAAGTCAATTTCTGGAATTTTTCAGGGTTTACCTTCTAAACATAAAAACCAGGGTGAAATTGGGATAAAGGGAAGACGAGAAAAAAATCTGTTTAAATCAAGGAAAATAATACATTTGGGGGGGGGGCTGATTTTTTGGCAGGGGGGCTAAGCACGCATGCACATGCGTGAACACGCCCTCCCCCCCCAGGCACACCCCTCCCCCAGGCAGGAAAGTCTGTTGGGGAGAAGGGTGGGGGGAGAACTGGCTGCCCCCCAGCCTGGCACTGGCCCCAGCTGCCTCTCCGCATCAGCCCTGACCCCGGCCCCACACCACCCAGGAGGCCCAGAGCAGGGGGGCCAAGGTGGGGCCAGCCTCTGCTGCACCACCGAGCTGGACGGAATGGAGCCCCTGCGACCCAGCCAGGGGCAGGACCAGGTGGGGTGGGGGACAGAGCCGCAGCTCATCCAGGGGACACGGGGAAGGGCAGGCAGCTCCTGCCACTGAACAGATCCCAGGAGGCATGGGGGACATGTGAAAAACAGGTGTAAATCAGTAAAAACTGAATAACTTAAAAAAAGAAGAAGGTAATTTATGGGTGAAATTTGGTAAAAACCAAAAATGCAGAACACTATACGTAATAAGTGCATGCCATAGCAAGTCTGGTTAATGGGAGCCAAAATTTTCCTTCACATCAGAAAAGATGCCACCGCCCCCTTCCCCCACACCTCCCACC